TCCCTATCCAGCTGAATTCCTGAGAGGAGACAAAATCCAGGTCTCCTACTCCTCCACCATCTTGCTCCGCCCCCCTGTTTTTGTTTTGTTGCTGTTGTTGTTTTCTTTTTTAAGTAGGCTCCATGCCCAGTGTGGAGCCCAAAGCGGGCTTGAATTCATCACCCTGAGATCAAGACCTGAGCTGAGATCAAGAATCAGAGGCCTGGGGTGCCTGGGTGGCTCAGTTGGTTAAGCGACTGCCTTAGACTCAGGTCATAATCCCAGGGTCCTGGGATTGGGCCCTGCATCGGGCTCCGTGCTCAGCTGGGGGCCTGTTTCTTCCTCTCCCTCTGCCGCTCTCCTGCTCTCTCTCTCTGCCAAATATTTATTTGGCAGAGAGAGAGACACGGCAAGAGAGGGAACACAAGCAGGGGGAGTGGGAGAGGGAGAGGCAGGCTTCCTGCCGAGCAGCACCCGATGCGAGGCTCAATCCCAGGACCCTGGGATCATGACCTGAGCCAAACGACTGAGCCACCCAGGTGCCCTAATAAATAAAATCTTAAAAAAAAAAAAAATAGAGGCCTAACCAACTGAGCCACACAGGCACCCCTTGACATTTTTTAAGAATGGCAGTTTTATAATTTTAGAAGTGTTCTCTGCAAGACTAGTCCTTTGCATAATTTTTAGTAGGTATAATTTCTTTAGTATAATTCTGCCATTGTACCATCTTTTCAACAACCTTCTTTCAAGAAGTTCCATTTCCTCACCTATTTGTTCATAAAGACTTGCCAACGTGATACTAACAATGATTTGAAAACTTTGACTTAACAATTTACATTTTAGATACCAGCACCAGAGAGTGAGGGGCTATTTGTTGTTGACTCCTGGAAAAAGGAACTAGCTAGAAGTTAAGGAAAAACACAGAGAACAGATTTCTCAAGCCCACTGGTAACTGTAACAGGTGACTTGGATTACACAGGTACATAACATGTACATATTAAGAGACAGAAATAATTTTAAGTATAAATTTTTAATCTTTTTTAAAGTATAAATTTTTAAAAATCACTTAGTTTTTTCATTCATCCTGTATTATCTTGTGTTTCTAGAGCTAAATGTTGGCTATTCATTCCAAACTCCCAATAGGGACTCTTTTTTAAACATAAATTTATTTTCTTTGGCTCCCTGAAGGCAGCACCTCTCCCTGCTGCTTTGCCTGAAAAATTTTAACCAGTATCAACTTTTCACCCTCCTCTAAAGCAATACTTCCCAATCTATTTTCATCAGTAACGCTACCCATTATGATGCCCTAGATCTTTCATTTTGAAATATTTTACAACTGTGTTTATTGAATAATTTTCCTTTTTTTCCTTTAGATTTTATTTATTTGACAGAGACACAGCGAGAGAGGGAACACAAGCAGGGGGAGTGGGAAAGGGAGAAGCAGGCTTCCCGCTGAGCAGGGAGCCTGATGTGGGGCTCAAACCCAGGACCCTGGGATCATGACCTGAGCCGATGGCAGACACGACTGAGCCACCCAGGTGCCCCCAATTTTCCTATTTTTAATTATGCACTTAACTACCAATCAGAATTTATAATTAGATGAGAGAATCAGAACTTTGTTGATAACATTCAAGCCAGAAATAAAGAAATTTAATATTTTAGTCTTCTGGTGAGCTAAGCTTAAGTTTTATTGGCTATCTAAAACACTGAAAATCCCTAAGGAATCTCAAGGACTACTGGAATTCCTTCTATCCTAAAAGCTGGGAAAACTCATTTTCTAACAAAGATCTTGGCCTGGGGGGGGCGGGTCTGGGGACACCTGGGGGCTCAGTTGGTTAAGTACCAGACTCTTGGTTTTGGCTCAGGTCATGATTTTGTGGGTCAGCAGGGACTCTGCTTGAAGATTCTCTCCCTCTGCCCCTCCCCACACTCTCTCTCTCAAAGAAATCTTTTTTTTTTTGAAGATTTTTTTTTTAATCCCTTGGGCACTGGTCTTTTTACTCATTAGTCCAGAGTCTCTGTTTTTAACTTACAATTATTAATTCAAAAATATAATCTATAATTTAGGGATAAATGCTAGCATATCTTCAGATAGAACCAGCAAGGATCAGATTCAGTTTAGGGTATTAATCCTGGCTAGCTCCTAGACTGACTCTTTATAAATGCCTTGGTCTCTCATTGTTTTTTCCCTTTTCAAATATATTCAACCTGGCTGAAAAGCCAGGCTGAAAGAAAGCTCAGCAGGGATCTTAGATAAACCAGGAACTTTCTGGGTTGGAGATGAATGAACAAAGCATTTAAGAATAGAAAGAAAAGATGTGTGGCGCATTTTTATTTTAAAACCTCCACCGAAAGACAGTTTGGGGTTTTTGTTTATTTATTTAAAAGTTGGTGGACATGGGGTGCCTGGGTGGCTCAGTCAGTTAATCATCTGCCTTTGGCTCATGTCATGATCCCAGAACCCTGGGATGGGGCCCTGTGTCAGACTCCCTGAGTCTGCTGGTCCCTCTCCCTCTGCCCGTCCCTCTGCTCATGCTCTCTCTAATAAATAAATAAACTCTTTAAAAAATAAAATAAAAGTTGGTGGGCTTGTTCACTCGTGCTAAATGGAACAGCCTTCTCAGCTGAGGATCCTGTCACCCTGACAAGGCATTACTGAATGCAGTGAAGCCTGACTTGGGTTCTGGTTTTGTACCCACCCCCTCCATCCTCTCAAGCCCTAGCTCTTCCTCAGAAATTTGTCTGCAGGTATCTGAAAAGTACTTATGGGTCACAGTAACTGTCAACAATTTCACCAGCTTACTGCAATTTAAAGCCTGAAAAATCACATTTCACTTCAAATCACATTGGCCGCACCAATCTGCATGAATGTGATAAATTCAGAGGTTTAGGATTTCAGGAAGGTTACTTTAAGATATTCCTAACGACCTGAAACTGATTTACCAAAACAGCAGCTTTTTCTAAAATGTTTTGTGCTAAGCTTGCAATGAAGCTTTCATTCTTAGCTATTATCTTTCAAGAAGCACTTTAACAGCTTGCTCCTCCTTCATAGGAATTATCCAGGCCACTCAGGTGAAAGAATAGATTTCCTAAATTCAAAACAGTGCCTAGGTCAGTGGTTCTCAGCCCTGACTGCATATTAGAATCATCTGGGTAGCTTTTTAAAAATAACCATGCCCAGCCCTTTCTGATTAATTGGTCTGGAAAGAACTTGGCATAGTATGTCTTTTTTTTTTTTAATTTTTTTTTTTTTTTTTTTTTTTTTTATTTGACAGAGAGACAGAGAGAGAAGGAACACAAGCAGAGGGAGAGGGAGAGGGAGAAGCAGGCTTCCCGCAGAGCAGGGAGCCCGATGTGGGGCTCGATCCCAGGACCCTGCGATCATGACCTGAGCCGAAGGCAGACGCTTAACGACTG